TTTTTTCTCAATCTTAGTAAATTAATTTTATAGAAATATCTGATGTCTTTTCTTACTTAATCTTATTAAATAAGTTTTATTAAATAGAAACTTTTTTTTTGCACACTCTACCTATTTGGTTTGAATTGACATCTATGACGTCAAAATATGGCGCGCAGTCTGTCCTATTCTTAGTTGAATCGTATCATAGGTAACTTTCGCAACATTGGTGTAGGATATGATTTTGCATTGTGGCATGCTTCTGCCACGAATGAACATTTTCTGCTATACAGATGATACGCTGATAACGAATTTATGTGGATTCAGTCCACATAAATATTTCTATCATAATCATTCGTTGAAGTTCATTTTCTGTTTTATTGAACAGGAAAGCGTGCAAAGATTTTTACACAGCTTTTATTTCCAATGCTTCTTTCAAGTTGAGGAGTATTTAAATAGGTACGTTGAGGTACTCACAATGTAATCTTTTTCACATTTATTTTTAGGTTAGGTTAGGTTAGGTTAGGTGCAAAGATTTTTACGCAGCATTTATTTTCAAATTCTTCTTTCATGTTGAGGAGTATTTAAATAAGTACGTTGAGGTACTCACAATGTAATCTTTTTCACATTTATTTTTAGGTTAGGTTAGGTTAGGTTAGGTGCAAAGATTTTTACGCAGCATTTATTTTCAAATTCTTCTTTCATGTTGAGGAGTATTTAAATAAGTACGTTGAGGTACTCACAATGTAATCTTTTTCACATTTATTTTTAGGTTAGGTTAGGTTAGGTGCAAAGATTTATACGCAGCCTTTATTTTCAAATTCTTCTTTCATGTTGAGGAGTATTTAAATAAGTACGTTGAGGTACTCACAATGTAATCTTTTTCACATTTATTTTTAGGTTAGGTTAGGTTAGGTGCAAAGATTTATACGCAGCCTTTATTTTCAAATTCTTCTTTCATGTTGAGGAGTATTTAAATAAGTACGTTGAGGTACTCACAATGTAATCTTTTTCACATTTATTTTTAGGTTAGGTTAGGTTAGGTTAGTTGCATAGATTTATACGCAGCATTTATTTTCAAATGCTTCTTTCAAGTTTAGGAGTATTTATATAGGTACGTTGAGGTACTCACAATGTAATCTTTTTCACATTTATTGTTAGGTTTTCCTAAGTTGTAGTCCTTACTGCAGACCCTGTCCATTGCGATCGCCGACGGCCAAAGCCTAACAACCTCTGAAAATACACAAAAAAAAACAAAATAGAACAATATTAAGTCAAATCAAAATTGAACATTTTTAACCGACGAAAAAAAACGAGGAGGAGAGGAGGTCGATGGCGCAAGTGGTTAGCGCGTTCGGCTGCGATCGTTGAAGTTAAGCAACTTTTTTTGGTCACCCATCCAATGACCGACATTGGATGGGTGACCAAAAAAAATTTACTATCTCGTGCTCCTCCGTGCTTCGGAAGGCACGTTAAGCCGTTGGTCCCGGCTGCATCTGCAGTCGTAAGCACCCACCAATCCGCACTGGGCCCGCGTGGTGGGTCATGACCCAATCTCCCTATTCCATCCATAGGGAAGGCCTGTGCCCCAGCAGTGGGGACATTAATAGGCTGATGATGATGATGAAAAAAAACGGAGAATTTTTTGGTGGCCACATGTGTTTTGTATACAAGATCTTGATGCTAAGCGTGAGTAAGTATATCCAGATATGAATATCAGAAAGTGAAATACTGGATGAAATTCGACACGGCCATTAAGGTTCGGTAGCACAGTTGTTTAGTTCATCCACTCGGATAGCGGAAGATGCAAGTTTCAAAACTGTGATAAATCTGGACGTGTGGAATTATTTGAAGTAAAAAATAATATGTATTTGTTTCTTAAAAATTCAAAAAATTCAAAATTCAATATCGCTAATTCAGTCTAGGCTGTTACAAGCACTTGTGAATGTCGATAAGCTACGCCATCGGTTCGCAAATCTACGGCGGGAGACCTTGTACTGAGAAGAACCGGCAAGAAACTCAGCAAGGGCTGCTTTTTTCTCCCTGTTTTATTTCATACAGTGTCGTCCAATTGAAAGTTGACATCAAACTTGCAAACATGTGTTGAGGTCAACTTCCATCACATAATGTCGAATATGTAACAATAGACAATCAACGAATTTACTAACAATAAGTGCAAAGATAAGTCCCAAAATAGCAAGAAACAATTTTCAAAACAAAATGAACAAGTATATGAAAGGGAGTAAGTGCAAGGTTCTCTTCAAAACTCTTTCTAAGGCTGGGAGCCTTAGTTTTAATATAACTTTTGAAAAATTATCTACAGGTAAAATTACAACCACGCCGTTTAAGGTTTTCACGCACATCACTCATTAAATAAAACTAGTTTAACAATAATTTAACATAACAAGGAGATAGAAAGCCTCTCTTGAGTTTGTTTCGCCAGAAGAATTTCCCAAGAAGCCAAGACAAGTGCTTCGATTCGGAAAATCCCTCGGAGGAATGCCCTGCCTCTCTTAAATGTCCAAGAGCAAATCTACGAGCACGTGATACGTTTTGCATTCCGGCAGGTCGGGCTAATTATGTAAGTAATCGCTACATTGTGCGAGGTATGAAATCATACAACTCTAAATATAGTCACATTGATATATTTAATCATAATTCTTTGAAATTCAAAAAACTAATCTGTAAATGGTTTTAGGCACAACACTTTTGAAGTTATACTTCTTTAGACGCGTTATGAAAAAATTATGAGAGTGAAATTTTAAGATGCGCGCGCATCACTGTAACACACATATGTTGGTCGCTAAAGCGACCAACTTCATGCTGTTACTTTTGTGTTTACCGCACATTAAGAAAATCTACCAACAAAATAGAAATAGAATCTCTATTTAGTGGGTGCTAACGACTGCATTGTGAAGGCCTATCAAAAGTATTTATTAATCTGGAACAACGGAACCAAAGCGCGATTCAGGAGACTACAGCGCCATCTCTTGACCATTGGTGTAGTAGAACCAAAAACCACATCTTTATTTTTTGTAATAAAGTAACAGTTATAGGTATTCATATTTATAATATTTATCCACATGTTTCTAGTTTGTATATTCGGAATACGTGTTTGAGTTTCATACAAGTGCAAATCACATATGTTCTAATAAATTATATTCAGTAGCGATTTTAATTGAATATTTTGATTATTTATTTATTTTTTCAAATTAAAACTGAACTTTATTGACTGTGTCCTTTTCCAGACTTTTTATTAATTTATTGTAATTAATTATTTGCATGCAATTAAAAACTAATTTTAAACGATGCGAAAGAAGGATAACTTCTCACGCGCCTACATAAGTACACGCACCCATTTTTTTATTTCTTTTTATTTTGTTATGTTCATTGTGATGTCAAAAATTGTTTTTTTTCTCTCATATTTATTAGACACTATGTTAGATAAATAATAGTGGAAATTACCTAGGCAATTGTTTAAACTAATGTTATATTTTTTCTTATTAATGTCCATGCAATGTAAATGTCACCAGATCTCTGCGAGGTATGGAAGTAGGGTTAAGGTCAGCAAAATAAGAATGATTAGAGTGGCACATTTCTTGGTCACATCACCTGCCATTCTTGTAGTATATCACTTGCAAATAATTGTCATTTGTTGCCTACAGTCTTTTGTAAGGCGGAGGATAGCGATGCGCGACTACGAATGATTTTACCTTTCGACTAATTCGTAGCTACTAATTTGGCTATTCGAAAGGCAAGTAGTATACTAATGTCATTATTCGAATAATGACTACTAGTTAGTAATACTAATGTCAAATATCGCTACGTACGATGCGTGCCGCCCGATACCTTCAACTCCAGTCGAATGATGTAAAGCGCAGTCTACTTAGTCGAATGATTCGTGGAGTCGAATAATTAGTATTAGTATTATTCGAAGTCGCGCATCGCTAGCGGAGGATGAGATACCAAACATACGCTACACTACCAACATTAAAATTCTCAACTTTCTACTGCTCTCAATTCTTCTGTAACACGAATTACCTGACACGACCATATCCATGTAGACCATGTTTTGTATGGAGTTGTAGTCAAGTTTGCCGCCATTCTTCTTCTCGGTCTCTCTGATCTCAGCCACCAGCTTCTCTTGGACGTCAGGGTGGGTGGCGAGCTCGTGCAGCGCGAAAGACATTGCTGATGTTACCGTTTCGAAGCCAGCGATGAAGAATATAGCCGTTTGCGCGACCAGGTCATCGTCCGACCATACTGGGAATCAAGTGATTTCACTTTTACACATTTGAAGATGTATAGGATATTTCCTTTGCCTAACAAACCTCATGAAATGTGTGAATAGAGTACGAAGGCCCAAGCACGAATTTTTGATAGGTCAAAACGTATCGTCTTCGGCAAATTTTGTATGGAGAAAGCTGCTTTGTTCTTAAGTTCGATAGGGGCGCTGCTTAGATATCATAGAAACTTAGACGATGCGATACGTTACGGAGCTGTCAAAAAAAATTGTGCTAAAAAGTGCCGCTTTCAAATTAATGGCAGTTCATCCAATACTTATGACTGAAGAAAGACGATACAAAGAAAGGCAAAAAACAGAATTGCGAAACGCGACGCGACCCGACGCCATACGATGACAGTCTGATAGAAAAGTATGGGAGAATGAAGATTTTAAAGTAGATTTATAATTTTTATTATTTTTAAAGCATGTAACTGCTTGATGTTTAAATCTAAAGAAAATATAACTAGAAAAAAATCCACGCGGACCAGGCAGCAGACGGGACTCGAACCCGCACCCTTCGCAATCCGGGCGAATGCACTGACCAATTATGCTACCGCGGCCCTCACGGACCGCGTCGAAATTCTTTCTAGCTATTCTTAAGCTGCAAGGCAGCGCCATCTCTTCGCATTATAGGTAAACCCACAATGTCAAATGAATACTTTTACAAGTATTAAACATTTGAAAGAAGAAATAGCAATTATATTTCTACCATATATAAATATATAACTATTATAAATCTTTAGATTTAAAGTAGATTTTTCAAATGTTAGCAATCTCAACTTCGACTATTGTATTCTTAAGATAACTGTCAATTGTTTTCTTCTAAAAATTATACGGATCAAATCTTACTTCTTCTAAGGGTTATTAGTCAAAAGGAATAAGCTTTACCTGTGTCAGTATTCTTTTTGCCAGCATTAGTTTCTTCGACAGTGGCAAATCCATCATCGGTTTTGCCATTTGTAGTCTTCTCGTCATTTAACAACCTCCCTGTTGTCCAAATAAAAAATCGTTAATTAGCTATTTACCAAAAATAGCCTTAAATAATTGTTCGCTTTAAAAATGTCTTAATCCAAAACAAAAATCTGATCCTTAGGGTAAATCAGAAACCGAGGAAGATGTAGCAAACACCACAACCACAAGCTCAAGTTTAGGAAGCCCGTCACGTTACCATTTCGACAGTGATAAGGCAAAATCGCTTAAACGGCCACTTTAATAACTTTACGGAAACTAGGATAAGTTGTTTTTTCACATACATTACATACGCCATACATTTTTTGTGAAGCAAACATCAAATCATAGGCGAAATAGTAGGGCGTATGAGCCATTGGTTCGAAAAAACACCAAAATTGAATGTCGCTTCAGCGTTGGGAACAATAAAAATCTTCAGAAAATTTAGTTGCTTAAGCGCCAAAAAAGTACTCAAATTTTCAAGAAATATAAACAGATCGACGCAGAAAAAAATGTGATTCAAATGTTATATGTAACTCATTTTATACCAAAGTGGCGTATAAGCGAATTTGCCTTCTCACTGTTCATTTAATTGTAGTAGCGAACAATTTGTTCAAGCTAGTCTGTGTCTTAAATATATGAATTGCTCACTCTATTATTAAGTACTTCTTGAACTTAAATCTAAGTATAATCATCATGCGGTAATCATGATCGTGATCGTGATGAATCATAATCACTGAACTATTAACTTGATTAAGGACACCGTAAATTAATTTTTATTTACATCTAGGTATAAGAAATTATACTTAAAGACTTTAGAAAACCTTTTAGTATACATCAGACCTTATCTTGAGCCTACCTTCTTTCTTCCTCCTATCTTCACGTCTCTCGTAACAAATCTCGGATTGTAGGGAGGAGGGAAGTGAACCAATAGAGACGCGAATATAGCTGATACAGCAGTTATGGAATGCCACACCAACCAGTCTCACCTTCCTGGCCTGCAAGTCTCTTTTAACATATCTCAGATTGTAGGAAGGAGGGAAGTGAACCAATAGAGACGCGAAAATAGCTGGTGCAGTAGTTATGGACTGCCATACCAACCATTCTCACCTTCCTGGCCTGCAAGTATTTTTTAACAGATCTCAGATTGTAGGAAGGAGGGAACATAAGCGCGGACAGTCTAGTTACGAATACTACGACAAAGAAATGAGTCACCAAATGTCTTCGTTCATGTAGGAATCGCAGTAACCTTTCTTGGCTTCCATGAGTAGATGGATTATGTCTGGCCGGATGATCTGCTGCGACTCCCGCTCGCTCATGGTGTTCATTACGAGGTGTTTGAAAAACTTTGTTGTCACGTCTTTGGACAATGCGAACCTCGTAGCCTAAAACATTACATAAGTACATAATTATACTATAACAAGCATTTATTTTGATGGATTGTTAATTGCATATTTTTTTACATTACAATGTATTTAATTAATTAATTTAGAAAACACAGAACCGTAACAATATTGCGTAGAATAGTCTGCTGTTGTATCGATTTCTAAAATTAATTCCGATCAAGGTGGTTTCTTACCTTAACGATGTTTGGAAAATTAAACAAGGCGAAGGACAGTAGCAATTGTATTAAGTCTACATGGGAAATCAACTTTCCCATTTCATAAAAATAATTCTTCTCCTCAACAAACGAATCCACCTTCAGACCAAAAGCACATGTGCCTATAATGTCACAAGCAAATCGAGTTGTCAGGTCTTTGCAGTCCACGTCGATTGTTTGAGCTAAGATTTTAAATGATTCGTTATTATAATATTTGTCAATAACAAATAAATCAATGATAGATATGAAGGCATTTGACGCAAGAAAAATATTGTTAACTCACTTTTTGCTTGCTTGAACTTGTTTTTGAGGCTTTCTATCATCTGGTTACCAACTTCCACCATAAATGGCAACATTTGTCTCATCTTGGAGCTTGTGAACGCTGGACTTAGAGTTGATCGCATGTCCTTCCATTCTTGACCTGATAGAGAAACAAGGTATCACATTTAGGATTGAAAATATATAAATATGCGTTTCATGCCACAGTATTGACACTAGTAGCTCTAATAATATCATCAATCTGGTAATTAAGATCAACTTACGTCCTTAGAGTCTGTGCGGAAAGAGAATGGGATTTAGATTGGAGGGCGCTGTAGTGCTTTTCTACCGTATTTGTAAGGTTTTACCCCTTTTAGACATGATTAAATACAAAAAACCGCAAGAAATCACAACAACAAACAAATCCGTATCACAATTACAAACTTTGGCGTTTTACAGATTGCTGGGTTTGATTGCCAAATAAAAATCTTAATGTTAGTCCCGATTTTCGCCACGCCCATTCTCTTTCCGCACAGACTCTATCAATATTTTATCTCCTTTAAAAGATAGTGTTAAAGTTATTCTTAAAAAAAAATCGTAGCAGGCTTCAAATAGGAGGAGGTTCTCATTTCGTTTGGTATTTATAATTATTTGGGTATAGTATTATTGAACTCTGGCTTTATTGAAATAGTCTTTGATTGTTCGAAATAAAATTATACCACTTATTTTATTAAATATGAGAATATAAATTTAATAATCAACCAGAATGTTACTTTGATTGGTTATACTCGTAGATGGCTATTATGATCTGCCTTCATTAGTGTACGTACTTAATTGTTTAGGCACTTATTATTTAGTATTACAATGACGTTTCAACTTCCATCATTGTAACTTTGATTATTTCAATCAAAGCATTATAAATAAAAAACCAAGTGATCAGATAAACGGACAAGTCTACATGCATGTAATGTATGCAATATATAAATATATGTAACTAGCGGCCCGCCCTCGCTTCGGTTCGGTGTAGAGCTGAAGTGTAGACCACAGTTTTTGTTCTCAGGCTTGTATTATACACAATGACATTCACAAGTCTCAGCCCGATCGGTTTAAAATTGTCAAAGTTTCATACAAACTTTTATTCCCTATTTTATCCCTTTGGGGGTAGAATTGATCAAAATCCTTTCTCAGCGGATGCCTACGTCATAACATATACCTGCATGCCAAATTTCAGCCCGATCCGTCCAGTGGTTTGGGCTGTGCGTTGATAGATCACTATGTCAGTCAGTCACCTTTGAGTTTTATTTAAAGATGGATATATCAAAATTATTAGAAACACTTCTAACCATTCAAAGAAAACAGGTTTCTTCCACAGATTGGGTCAGTCTCCTCATCCACCAGAGTCCTGTGATCCAGGAAGTTCTCAAAATCCTTCACTGCTACCTTCTTTATCAACTCGATGTCCTTTATCACTACCATAGGGTTCACAAACTCGTACCGTCCAACAAACCTACAAAACATATCGATATTATTTTGTGCGTGTATATTTGTCGAAACACTCAGGATGTAATAAATAAATCATAATCGTATATTGAGGACACAAGTGGTTAACGCGTTCGGCTGCGATCGTTGAAGTTAAGCAACTCTCGCAGTGGTCGGTCATTGGATGGGTGACCAAAATTAGTCGCAACTTTAGGGTTGCCAGGTGTAAACTGGTAGATCAATGTTGATTATTTGGGAGCTGGCAGCCATTGTTTTATGATCATACCTTCCAATCGTCATTTCCTATCCAATGACATAACAAGTATGCAATTTACGTAAATAAATTTATATCATCATCATCATCATCATCATGATGGTGCCAGTGGTTAGCGCGTTCGGCTGCGGTCGTTGAAGTTGAGAAACTTTCGCAATGGTCGGTCATTGGATGGGTGACCAAAAGCTCCTCCTCCTATCTCGAGCTCCTCCGTGCTTAGGAAGGCACGTTAAGCCGTTGATCCCGGCTGCATCTGCAGTCGATAGCACCCACCAATCCGCACTGGGCCCGCGTGGTAGGTCATGGCCCAATCTCCCTATTCCATCCATAGGGAAGTCCTGTGCCCCAGCAGTGGGGACATTAATAGGCTGATGATGATGATGATGATGAATCGTATATTTAATAAGAATAGCAGCACCCCTCTCATCCCATGGATGTCGTAAAAGGCAACTAAGGGAACACATCCAGCAACCAAAAGACGGAACGGGCAGTACTAGTGGACCACCGGGAGAGCGACTAATAGGTCTAATACCCGTTGGACCCTCAAGATTCGAACCAAAAGCAAAAAGTAACCGTTGGACCTCTTTTTTGGTGTCCATTGGACCTTCTTAAAAAGTTATAAATTCAATGTGCCCATTGGACCTCTTTAATGGTGCCCATTGGACCTTCTTAAAAATTTTAATAACCCTCATGTCGGACACAAGTCCCTTGTTAACAACGTGATCACCGTCGGGTCACTTACTTGATACTGAGACTATCGAAATGATATCCGTTGCATGTCATACAGGTTTAAGCTCCGACCTCGAGCACTCAGATGACGAAATGGAAGCTATGTATAAGGAGATCAGAGAAGCCATGCATTGCTACAATACCCACTACACGGTTGTGATGGGGGACTTCGAAGCCAAGTTGGGGAAGCGCTGCGGTGATGAGATATTGGTGGATTTTATTGAGTGGGAGAACCTCTATATGATGAATTCATTCATCAGAAAACCACAAAATTTTAAATGGAACTGGATGAGTCCGGATGGCAAAGTCAGAAATAAGATCGACTTCATCATGTTAAGGAAAAAGCTAATATTTAATGATGTCTCTATAGAGTAGGGGAACCTCTATATGATGAATTCATTCATCAGAACTGGATGAATCCAAATGGCAGAGTCAGAAATGAGATCGAATTTATCATGTCGAGGAAAAAGCTAATATTTAATGATGTCTCTATAGAGTAGGGGAACCTCTATATGATGAATTCATTCATCAGAACTGGATGAATCCAAATGGCAGAGTCAGAAATGAGATCGGATTTATCATGTCGAGGAAAAAGCTAATATTTAATGATGTCTCTATAGAGTAGGGGAACCTCTATATGATGAATTCATTCATCAGAACTGGATGAATCCGAATGGCAGAGTCAGAAATGAGATCGAATTTATCATGTCGAGGAAAAAGCTAATATTTAATGATGTCTCTATAGAGTAGGGGAACCTCTATATGATGAATTCATTCATCAGAACTGGATGAATTCGAAGGGCAAAGTCAGAAATGAGATCGGCTTTATCATAATGAGGAAAAAGCTAATATTTAATAATGTCTCTGTGATCAACGCCGTCAAAACGAGAAGTGATCGCGGTCGGTACAAGGCATTGTTTATCAACATAAAGAAAAATTCCGTCAAAACTCTCCCACTCATAGAACAGCGGAACGAAATGAGACTATAGAATTCAGGAGATGAAGTCATTACCAGCGCACAAATGTTTACTTCATATAATGTAACTAGCGGCTCGCCCTCGCTTCGCTTCGGTGTAGAGCTGAAGTGTAGACTACAGTTTTTGTTCTCAGGCTTGTATTATACACAATGACATTCATCTATGATTCTTCTTATACCTGCATGCAAAGTCTCAGCCCGATCGGTTTAAAATTGACAAAGTTTCATACAAACTTTCATAACCTATTTTATCCTCTTGGGGGTAGCATTGATCAAAATCCTTTCTTAGCGGATGCCTACGTCATAACATCTACCTGCATGCTAAATTTCAGCCCGACCCGTCCAGTGGTTTGGGCTGTGCGTTGATAGATCACTATGTCAGTCAGTCACCTTTGAGTTATATATATATATAGATATTAACCCACCTCTCGTCAGGAAACTCCATGTAGTTCCTGAAAATGTTGTCGGTGAAGTGTTCGAAGCGAAAAACGACTCTTGTTAAATTGCCCAGCAATGGGACTGGGGTTAATTGTTTCACACCATACTTTGAAAACCTCGAGTACTTCTGTTTGAGGTACAGCACTAACGCCGTTACCACTGTCAGGCACCATATCAGGAACAACATCGTCTGTGAACAACTAAACATTCGATTCTGGCATGATTCTCTAAACTTTTTCATTCTATATTGGGAATGATAAGGAAACTGTCGTCAAATTTAGGTTTGGGTTGGAGAGTCATGCTAGAATTGGCACCAAACACCAATGCATGTATAGAATGATTGAAACTTAATTTATAAAATATATTGTGCAATTGTTTAATAATGTATTTTAAATAGATAATAACCCTCTAAAGTTGCTGTGCCCTTGCAGGGCGTCACATGGTTACTGTATTTGTTATGTACCACCTTATTTTTCTGAATGTGATATGCAATAAATAAATCAATAAATAAACAGGGAACAATTCAATACGAAGCTTTCGATCAGCATTTTGGTTCTAACGTGTGAGATGATAATAACAAAAGTAATTTGATTCCCGTAAATCTTTTTTAGTAAGTGCTATAATAGTATAGATTCTGGCATGATTCTCTATAACTTAAATTTGATAACAGTGTATCTTTGTCATTCTCTATATCGAATGAAAAGGAGAGATTTATGTTAAACTGACAGCTGACTCAGCGAACTTCGTACCGCCATAAAAATAGGGGCAGGTGGTAGAAGAGAAAATTTAGGGTTGTATACCTTTTTTATTTTTTTATAATGTGGCATTAAAAATACATGTATTTTTATTATTTTATTATACTCTCACAGACACTACACTAAACTCAAACTCAAACTCATTTATTCAGTCTAGGCTGTTACAAGCTCTTGTGAAAGTCAAACGCTACGCCATCAGTTCGTAAATCTACGGCGGGAGACCTTGTACCGAGAAGAACCGGCAAGAAACTCAGCCAGGGCTATTTTTTTCTCCCTGTTTTGTTTCATACAGTGTCGTCAATTGAAAGATGACATCAAAAACTAAAAACATGTGTTGATGTCATATTTCATCACATTAATATTATTAATTAACAATAAGTTAAGTATAACTAACAATTTTCAACTAAGTAGGTACATAAACTCTGAAAAAAATTGATAGATTAGACTTATTCGTAAAAAAGTTGGCTCATTAGTTAGAAGAGTGAGAGAGAACACGAACAGCGTCCTGAGGATGGTAGATGACCGGCTGGACACCGCGGTCATAGGACTGGACCTCTCCTTGCCGAGCGTGACCTCGGCCATGCTTGCCAACGACAGGTCCTGGAAGGCGGTATCCTCCTTTTGCGAAGAGGTGATGTCGAAAAAGGAGGCAGCGGAACGGGCCCGCAACAAGACCCTCAGGCAGACCCAATCCGACGCAGACGAATGGGACGAAGGATACGGGAATACATCCGCAGTCTTCCACCCTGAGTCGGGGCCAGCGGGCGTGGGTAGGGTAACCCGCGCCTGCATTGCACGGCACCGCAGTCTGGGGGGGATTCCTACCATGTGCCTGGGAATCCCCCCGATCGTGAGGTGGCCTGGCTAAAAGCCGGGGCGGCCGGCGGCGGCGTGGTTGATTCCCAGTAAGGATCCCATGCCGCCACCTAAGGCAAGCAGAGCACATCCCGGAGTTTTAGTGGGTAGGACCCCCCCTTCCCGAGCAGTCACTGAGCCAGCCCTAGGGTTGGCGCCTACCCAGCGGCGGGGTATGCGTAATGCATTTCTCAGGGTCAAAAAAAAAAAAAAGGGGACCGGCTGGACTCCGTGCTACTGGGCCGGTTCACTGAGCTGCACGTGCTGCGTTCACATGTTTGGTGAATCCGCCCCACTGTATTGGACTCCACGCCAATATTTGTTGAATTTTATATTATTGTATTGTCTTATTGTTACTAACATAGCATTTAAGTCAATTATACTAACATATCTATGGACTCTGTCTGAAAATAAACGATTTCTATTTTTATTTCTATTTAATTATTATTTATCATTTACAAACATCATAATTTTTTTTCGCGACGCGTTGAATTTTTACCTTTTTTGGAGCAAAAATTAAAAATTTATCAAATTTCTTCATTAGGTTCACTCATTAAAATCACACATATTTTTAATGTTAATTTGGAATTATCTTATTTAAAATTTTTATCTTTTTAATGATACCAAAACCAGCCCGACGCAAATAGATATAACGGGAAAATGCCGCCAGTCCTGCGAGCGCAGCGATTTGGGGTCGATTTTTTACATAAATAATAAAGAAATAAATAAATATTTCCAACACTCACACCAATTAGCCGAGCCCCAAAGTAAGCACTGTAAGGCTTGTGTTATGGGATGCTAGGGTAACGGATAGAATACATATACTGTACATATATAAGTATATTTATATAGAAATACATATTAAACATCCATGACTGGAGTACAAATGCTCGTATTCATCACACAAACATCTGCCCCCACCGGGATTCGAACCTCTCGAGTCGGCGACACCATGAAACCCGGCGTACGAACCACTCGACCACGGAGGTCGTCAAACGTTACATCATCATCATCAGCCTATTAATGTCCCCACTGCTGGGGCGCAGACCTTCCCTATGGATGGAATAGGGAGATTGGGCCATGACCCACCACGCGAGCCCAGTGCGGATTGGTGGGTGCTAACGACTGCAGATGCAGCCGAGACCAACGGCTTAACATGCCTTCCGAAGCACGAAGGAGCTCGGGATAGTAAATTTTTGGTCACCCATCCAATGACCGACCACTGCGAAAGTTGCTTAACTTCAACGATCGCAGCCGAACGCGCTATCCACTTGCGCCATCGAGTTCCTCTTTTTTACATAACATAGTTTTATTTTATAGACTAGTGGCCCTCCCGCGCTTCGCTTCGGTGTAGAGCTGTAGTGTAAACTATAGTTTTTGTTCTCGGGTTTGTAGTATAAACAATGACTTTATTTATATAATTACACGTGTTATTGTAAGTCAACCATAAAAGATAGACATGTGCTGTTGCGGGATATTTTTTTGACAATTTCATGTAGAATATTTCCGTCCGAAGCTTAAAAAATGGAGTAACTTCTCCCGTTTTCCCAACATTTCCCTTCACTACTCTGCTCCTATTGATTGTAGCGTGATGAAAAGTATACTATAATCTGCCCAGGAGTATGAAGAATAATTGTACCAAGTTTCGTTAAAATCCGTCGAGTAGTTTTTGTTTCTATAAGGAACATACACACAGACAGACAGACAGACAGACAAAAATTTTACTGATTGCATTTTTGGCATCAGGTTCGATCACTTATCACCCCCTGATAGTTATTTTGAAAATATATTTCATGTACAGAATTGACCTCTCTACAGATTTATTATAAGTATAGATAGATTGGTATAAGTATTTAGTTTATTTAGTAGTTTTAATCTATTTTGTGTGTTTAAATAATATATTATTTTAGGCACCTTAGTTATCACTTAGTTTATTTTTAAATCTTTATCACCCTAGTTTGATATGCCAAAGAGTTTTAATTACAAGTTTATACATACGATAGTGCGAAAATCCTTTTTACCAACCTATTATTAAAATCGCTTTTGAGCTAACTTAACTTATCGACCGACTCTTTTTAGCTTGATAGACCAGGGTCGATAATTTTAAAAATGGTGAAAAGTGAAAAAAAAATATAGTAGGATGAAACCCATTAGAAAAGGTAGAGAATATAAAGAAAAAGAAAGGAAAAATAAATTACGGGCGATCTGAGGTCGGGAAGGGGGAGGGGGTGAGTTTTTAAGGGTAAAAAATGGTTAATCACGATTTCCGGTAAAACTGCAAGTCCTGTGAAAAAAAGTTAAATGGCAAAGTTGTAGGTAATAAAAAGATCTACAACTTTTGTATCGACACTTCTTTCACATAACCTCAAAATTTATGTGAAAACTGCGAATAACTGAGTTTTAGATTTTTAATTTTTATTTTTTGAAAAAAAAATTATTTTTTCACGAAAATTGGTGAAAACTTACCTTTGTATGTCCCAAACATACAATATTTTTTTTGATTTAAAATATTCATTTTTTCACCTTATTTTGACTTAATATCCAAAAAGCACCCTTATTTTCAATCGAAATTTCTCACGTCAAAATATCTGCTTTTTTAAAAAAGTTGGGGTGTTTTTTGTTTGTTGAAATCTCTACTTTCTGATGGTATAAAAAAACATATACTATACTACTATGGTAAATGTTCTCAGAAACTGCAAATTAATAATGAAAAAAACTCCAAATTCAGAAAGTAGAGATTTCAACAAACAAAAAACACCCCAACTTTTTTAAAAAAGCAGATATTTTGACGTGAGAAATTTCGATTGAAAATAAGGGTGCTTTTTGGATATTAAGTCAAAATAAGGTGAAAAAATGAATATTTTAAATAAAAAAAAAATATTGTATGTTTGGGACATACAAAGGTAAGTTTTCACCAATTTTCGTGAAAAAATATTTTTTTTTGCAAAAAATAAAAATAAAAACCCAAAAACTCAGTTATTCGCATTTTTCACATAAATTTTGAGGTTATGTGAAAAAAATGTCGATGCAAAAGTTGTAGATCTTTTTATTACCTACAACTTTGCCATTTAACTTTTTTTCATAGGACTTGCAGTTTTACCGGAAATCGAGATTAACCATTTTTTACCCTTAAAAACTCACCCCCTCCCCCTTCTCGACCTCAGATCGCCCGTAATTTATTTTTCCTTTCATTTTTGTTATATTCTCTACCTTTTCTAATGGGTTTCATCCTAACCAAGAAACCAAGAAAATTTAACCACCAACAAAACCGACTATAATCCGTCAGTATTGAATTAAAATAAAACTTAAACATTAGTAAGTTACATAAGAAAGAAGAACTCACTTAAAATTCACGCGTTGTTTGTATACACCGGCGCCAAGTTAAGCTTACTTTAACTTGAATAAAAAAAAACGGTTGAACTTGTTTTTGGTGTCACTCATAAATGGACGACATTATAAAATGACTGAGACTGCGATAGCGCAGCTCAAAAGATTGCTTTTATACTGACAGCAGTGTACGTTTAAGGCAACATAATAGAAATGATAGTAAAGCTAGGCACCATAACAGGGCACTGCCTACTTAACAATAGGGATGTCGAAAGTTGAAAAAAATATCGATATTTTAAAAAATATCAATATCGGCTTCGATATATCGCGAAAAAAACATCGATATATCGATATATCGGACCAATTTTCCCAAAAATATTGTACAGTAGCTCACGAAATATGGCACGCGGAATAATAATGGAACGAAAATTATCTCCCTAAAAATAGACCCTATTTTCGAATGATGACATAGACAATACTAAATACAGCACAGATCATAGATATGTTGAATATTATTAATCTGAGATCCAGTTATGATTTTTCCAGATACGAATTTAGTTAGATCGTGATATGCCGCTAATAATTAAAAAAATATCGTTTTTGATACGAATTTCGATATTGGTTATTTTGTATCGATGTATCGATATATCGAATCAAAATATATCGGCAAAAAATATCGATATATCGAACAAAAGATATCGATATATCGATACATCGATATATTTGCAACAAACCTACTTAACAAGCATTTACTAACCATACGCGTTACAGATAGCTCTCTATGCAGAGGATGTCTGGAAACAGATGAAACGGCCGCTCATGTAATCCTGGAATGCACGAGCGTTGCAGAACACCGGGCGTCAATCCTCAGGAAGCCGAGGACGCTCCTAGAAGCCTGTGAGAGCCCCAGGAGACTACTGCGCTTCTGGAAGGAGCTGGGCTGGCTGAGCTAGCTAGCCCAGGGTATATTGGGCTAGCTAGCTCAGCCAGCACGCACAATGGACCAAGTACGGAGTCTACGTGCGGAAATGGGGGCCCACAACAAGTAACAAGTGAGATATGTAAGCATTACTGTCCACAAAGGCCGCTTAAACATTTGTCCAAACTCAACTTCAATAAAATTCAATAGTATGGCGACATGCATACAGATAAAACAAAATACTTTGACAAATCAAATACGATTCGACGACCTCCGTTTTCGAGTGGTTCGTACGCCGGGTTTCATGGTGTCGCCGACTCGAGAGGTCCCGGGTTCGAATCCCGGTGGGGGCAGATGTTTGTGTGATGAATACGAGCATTTGTACTCCAGTCATGGATGTTTAATATGTATTTCTATATAAATATACTTATATATCTACAGTATATGTATTCTATCCGTTACCCTAGCATCCCATAACACAAGCCTTACAGTGTTTACTTTGGGGCTAGGCTAATTGGTGTGGGTGTAAAAAAAAAACTGCAGATGAATTTGGCTATCCGTTCGTCCAATTCAAACAAGAAAACTGCGGTCGGGATTCGATCCCGGGACCTCTGAAAGGCGACACCATGAAAACTGGCGTTGAGTACATACCACTCGAGCCATGGAAGTCGTCGAAAAGCCAAAACAACAAAACTGAATACTGTACCCTTAGCATGAACCAAAATCGAATTCGTAACGTTTGCGAGTCCGAAATGTCATTGTCAAATGTGTACTGATTTTTAGTTCCCGTTACGTCCAAAGTGGCACTGCTGTTCAAGTTTCCATACAAAATTTGACATTGACGTTTTGGTTTGCAAACTATTTGAATTCAATAATGATTCATGCTAAGGGTACTGAGTTATGATATAAAATTACACTTGTTGACGTCAGAAAAACGGTTGTCTGTAAAGTCTGTTAACGGACGATCATTTTACGTGGTATCGTTCGCTGTTTTCCTCAGGGGAGTGTTTTTTGTGTCTTTTTGAAGTGAAACTTCTTTAGCGGCGTTGTACACTTATTTTGTATGGGTAAAAGATGTTAAACTAGACATATTAATTTTATTGATGTTATTAAGTGTTTTAAATCTCTTAAACAAAAAAATACAAGTGATTTATGGGGTATTTCTACTAAAGTGATTAAAAGTATAATACCCGTTATTGCTCCTTATCTAGTTGATATATTTAATAACTGTATTGATCAAGGAGTATTTCCGGATTTAATGAAATACAGTAAAGTTATACCTCTTTTTAAATCAGGAAATAGAAATGACCCTGGAAACTATAGGCCTATATCAATATTACCAGTTCTTAGTAAAATATTTGAAAGAATTATTCTGGAACAATTGATGCCTCATTTCAACATTAATAAACTTTTGCATAGGAAACAATTTGGTTTTACAAGAGGTAGATCTACTACTGATGCGGGTGTTGCACTTGTAAGGAGTATATTGGAGGCTTGGGAGAGGTCGCAGAATGTCCTTGGAGTGTTCTGCGACTTATCCAAAGCTTTTGATTGCGTTGATCATCACACGCTGTTATTGAAATTGAGTCATTATGGAGTCAAAGGTACTGCATATAAATTGATACAGTCGTACCTCAGTTCCAGAATACAAACTGTAGAGGTAAATGGTGTTAGATCATCTGGATCTCATGTGGAAATGGGCGTTCCCCAGGGTTCAATTTTAGGACCCTTCCTGTTTCTAGTATATGTAAATGATTTGCCATTTCTTGTGGAAAATTTGTGTGAGATTGTATTATTTGCTGATGACACATCTTTATTATTTAACGTTGACAGGTGCAAAAACAACTATGACGATGTGAATAATGCTCTCACGCAAGTTCTGCAATGGTTTAATGTCAATAATTTAAAGCTAAATGCTAATAAAACCAAGTGTATTCAATTTTCCTTACCTAATGTAAAAGTTGAGCATATTGGAATTAAATTAAATAATGAAAAATTAGATTTAGTAGACTCGACTACATTCTTGGGTATAACGATAGACTCAAAACTGCAATGGAGTCATCACATTACGCTTTTGGCTGGTAAACTTAGTTCAGCAGCTTATGCCATAAGAAAGATAAGACAACTTACTGATACAGAAACTGCCAGGACTGTATATTTTAGTTACTTTCATAGTATCTTATCATACGGCATTTTACTCTGGGGAACAGCAGCTGATATTGAAAGTATATTCATTTTACAAAAAAGAGCTGTGAGATCTATTTATCAATTGAGTAGCCGAACATCTCTTAGAGAAAAATTTAAAGAAATTGGCATTTTGACTGTTGCTTCTCAATTCATTTACAATTGCATACTCCTCGTTAAAAATAATATCAATTTGTATATCAAACACAGTAGCGTGCACAATTTTAACACAAGGAATAGAAACAAGCTTGCATTGCCACCCTACAGGTTACAGAAGGTTTACCGATCTTTTATGGGTCAAGGTATACATTTTTACAATAAAATTCCTGATGCTGTTCTTGAGTTACCCATAAATGAGTTCAAATGTCACATTAAAAGTTGTTTACTTAAGAAAGGCTATTATACTATTAAAGAATACTTGAATGACAAAACTGTATGGCTGTAACTGCAAAATTGTTTTGTATTTGTTTGCAGTGTCGTACAGATAAATTACCTTAACTCTAAGTAACTATTTTGCAGTTTGGTTTGAGTGGTTATGGGTAGTCATGCTCTCTTAAAAATCTCTTCGGCGGTGTCGTGTGAGGCGGGTCGTTGCGTTCCCTAAAATATGGTTGAGCGAAGCGATGGCTGGTTCATGCGTCATGCTCGTGAACGGGTGCTGCCAGCGGAGATGAGTCTGCTCTATACTACTTTATTATTGTAATGATAATTATTATTAAATTTTTGTATTTTACATTACACAACTTGTATTTATACTGTATGACACAGCAATAAAAATGTAAGTGAACATTTATTATTTATCTGATAAAGATTTAATGGCGGTGTGGATTCTGGTATGGTTTTGTAGACCTGAACTTGGTTTTGCAGCGGTGTATCCTTGTCATTCTTAATACAGACTGAAAAGGGGGGACTGATTTTGGACTTGGTTTTGGGTTGGGAGAGTAGTGCCAGAATCGACAACAGTGTTTGGGCAATCACATGCATGTGTCCTGCCGTTATGTTTATAATTTGTTATAATAATGAACTCTGGTACTTATATATATTTTTTCTATCTTTGTAACATAGTATCCATGTGTGGTTATGAGTAGTCATGCTCTCTTAAAAATCTCTTCGGTGGTGTCGTGTGAGGCGGGTCGTTGCGTTCCCTAAAAAATGGTTGAGCGAAGCGATGGCTGGTTCATGCGTCATGCTCGTGAACGGGTGCTGCCAGCGGAGATGAGTCTGCTCTTGCTTCATTGGATACTATTAACCGTTGTACTAAACTTTAATCATTAATTATTGTTTTTTTTTGCCTAAACAGCAGGACACGGCATTCCTAAACTTTGTTAAAGTAGTTTTTTATAAAGTCATAATTTTTATTATATTAGCATTTGTAATGGAAAGTGACTTTATGAGTTACCTCATATTTAAGTCATTTTTCAATTTGACGACTCTGTATACAATACAGGGAGAAAAAAACAGCCCTTGCTGAGTTTCTTGCCGGTTCTTCTCAGTACAAGGTCTCCCGCCGTAGATTTGCGAACCGATGGCGTAGCTTTTCGACATTCACAAGTGCTTGTAACAGCCTAGACTGAATAAACGATATTGAATTTTGAATTTTTTGAAACACGTGGGCTGATCGCATCATGACACCACAGTAAAATTGGAAAGGTTGTTGACTTTCAAGATATTGGACGAAACATAGTAATATTTTATTTCATCGTATTATAATAATAAGTCTCTATCTAGGACGTCCGTGGCAGCTTTATTGCGAAGAAAATGCATTTTTTACAATAGATGTCGCTAGGTGCGCTTAAATGTGATTCATGTAAGTTGTTTTCTTTACAATAGATGTCGCTAAGTGCGCTTAAACGTGATTCGTTTAATGCGATTTTTCTGAGATATAAAGTTTTTTAATGTAATAATATAAATTGTCATTTTTGGTTACGATAGCGCAATAAATAAATATTTTATTCTACTACATACATGATAGTACTTTTATACTGATAATTAGAGCAATTCGTGCAAAATTATTCCCTAACCATTCCAAAATATCAAAAATGCACAACGTTAATATTCAAGTTTTCACTTCTGCCGGCACTCTCGGAGTGCAACCCGTCGTTTTTAAATATTTCCTACACTCACACCAATTGGTCTGGCCCCAAAGTAAGCACTGAAAGGCTAGTTTTATGGGATGTTAGGGTAACGGATAGAATACATATACTGATAAATATATAACTGTATTTTATCCAGAAATATATGTAAACATCCATGACTTAGGTACAAATGCTCGTATTTACCCGCAGTAACATTAACCCGCACCGGGATTCGAACCCGGGACCTCACGAGTCGATAGTTATTATTATTATTATCACACTCGTGACAACGAGACATGGCGTCACACTTTTCGTGCGTATACCCGGTGTTCATCGATTTTTATCACGTCAAAAACGAAATTGACAACCGATGCTCTTCAAAAGCCTTGCAGGTATCCGCTGATAGAAAGATTGTATTGCGAAAGTTAAGAAAATCAAGTACATAGAAAAAAATCCACGCGGACCAGGCAGCGGACGGGACTCGAACCCGCATCCTTCGCTATCCGGGCGAATGCACTGACCATTATGCTACCACGGCCCTATTAGCCGCGTTGAAATTTTCCTAGCCTTAAGCTGCAAGGCAGCGCCATCTCTTCGCATTGTAGGTAACCCACAATGTCAAATGAATACTTTTTCAAGTATTAAACATTTGAAAGAAGAAATAGCAATTATAGTTATGATTCTATTTATTTTTTTAAAAAAATAAAAACCTACAATGCGAAGAGATGGCGCTGCCTTGCAGCTTAAGGCTAGGAAAATTTCAACGCGGCTAATAGGGCCGTG